GGCAAAATTTTCACGTGATACCTCGTGCCGGTGATGATGACACCGAAAGACTTGGTTCTGGTTTGAAACCTATCGTTTTTTTTTTTGGAAATAAACTGTTTCAGAAAGGTGCATTAGTATTCTTAACGAGATTTAAATGCATAAAAACACGTTTATAACGCGTAATTGTGTATAAATACTGCAAGAAAAATAAAATTGTATGATGACGTTGGCAAATTGCAGCAATTGGTTGCTGCGTGTGATCGCGGGCGGCCCGTGTTGCTGGTGTTGCGACGTAAAGCTTCTGGGCGAAATTGCCCCATCTGAAGCTGGCCTGAGTGGCGTGAGGGCCATGAGTGCGTGAGGGGTGTGAGGGCCGCAAGGGCGGTGAGTGTCGTGAGGGCGGTGAGTGGCGTGAGTGCGGTGAGTGGCGTGAGGGCGGTGAGTGGCGTGAGGGAGGTGAGTGGCGTGAGGGCCGTGAGGGCGGTGAGGGCCGTGAGGGCGGTGAGGGCGGTGAGTGGCGTGAGGGCTATGAGTGCGTGAGGGCCGTGAGGGCGGTGAGGGCCGTGAGGGCGGTGAGGGCGGTGAGGGCGGTGAGTGGCGTGAGGGCGGTGAGTGGTGTGAGGGCCGTGAGGGCGGTGAGGGCCGTGAGGGCGGTGAGGGCCGTGAGGGTGGTGAGGGCCGTGAGGGGCGTGAGGGCCGTGAGGGCGGTGAGTGCGTGAGGGCCGTGAGGTTCAGTGAGGGTGAGTGAAGGGCTGAAGGTGAGTGTGACTGTGAGGGTGAGGACGAGTGAGGGGCTGAAGGTGAGTGTGGCAGTGAGGGTGAGGGTGAGTGAGGGGCTTAGGTGAGTGTGGCTGTGAGGGTGAGGGTGAGTGAGGGCGGCCTAAAATGCCGACCTCTGCTAGAGAGAGCTTCACCGGAACCCCGGGCGACCCCCATTGACGTCACGGCGCACATGACTAGGAAGATGGTGAAGGAGTTGAGAGGTGCAGAAAACCTCAATCTTGGTCCATTTTTAAAACAAAAACTAGGACATGCAGGCAAAAGCGTTTTTTTTTTGTTCTTTACTTCGAAAAGGTGGAGACACCAACTCCCAAATTATTTAAGCAGAGCACTGAAACTGTTGCACAGCTCCTTTAAGGCTAAACATGTTCAGCTTCGCGGTTGTAACCGAATCCAGGAGTCCAAACACTATATTAAGCGTCTTATAACCTCGTGTTTTTTTTTTTTTTTTTTCTTGAAGTGGTTTAGCTTTTCTTTAGTGTTAGAGCTATATAAAGGCTTTGTGCTTCACCTGTAAAGCGCAGTTTGTTGTACACAGAAAGAGTGATAGAAAAAAAAAGAGAGGGAGAGCTTTAAGGTTTCGAAAATATGTGCTGAGTCAGCACAAATTTTGGCGTTTGTACGATGTTTCCTTTGACACAAAATGAAAGGTTCTGTTAACCATACTTGAAGTAGCGAATGACCGCATCAATCAATGTCTTGTCTTGCTGCCTTGCTATATATTATTCATTTATTCCTCGTTTAATGTGTAGTGCTTCTTGAGATAATATTTATCGAGTAAAGCTCATACGCGAACAATATATTTCTGCTATCATTTAAGGGCTAGAGTGTTCGCGACACCAATTATAAGTATCTTTCGTCATGCGAACTAAGAACTTTGGTTGTCAAGCCGATGTGAATAAATGAATACCCATCACTTCTCTCCCTACCAATGGGTACGCTCGTACACAGATGAACCTCGCGGCTTCCATGCTGTATTATGTAACAAAGCAACTCTGTTTTATTAATTTCCCCCGCCTTTCGACGTCTCTTCAGCGCTGTAGCGACATCGACGAGATGAAGATAACTTGTTCCGCAAAGCCAGTGAGCCCGTACTAGCATCAGTAAATATGCAGATCGTTATCCCGACTGTCTGGTGCTCCGAAGCAATAAGTATGCAGCCTCCGGACACGACTGCATCCGACGCTAATTTAAGATATATATGACGTACATGTAAGAAAAATAATGTATTATGATTTACCAGAGTGTTTATTTACTGTTTGAAACGACGGAATTGGACGGCTGTATATTATGCTAATTGCTTCCCTTAAACTTTCAGACACTGTGTGCCACGTGGAGGATAAATGTAGCTTTCTCAATTATCCAAAGCATGGAGACGAACCAAACAAATAAATTAGTGATCTGAGATTTTTTTTTTTTTTTGCTGAAGATTTAAAGTTTTGCAAAACGCAAGTCGTCAAGTTTGTCTTTGCTATCTTCAAATAAGTCCTCGTACGAAAGGAACACTATATTAATGACTTATTAAGAGAGCAGGTCGTTCGTTCTCATTGATTGTAACGGAAAAGTCCTGCAGCTATTGAGGGCCTGAAAATATTAATTGAATCATCATCAAAAATAGAAACAAGAAGGCCCTTTAAGAAATAACTGAAAACACAGTGAGCGTGCAGGCGAGCTGGTGATAGCTAATCATGTCGTATAACACCTGAGACTTAAGAAATTGGAAACTTTTTAGTTGTTTTCCTAGAATGAAGCGATACTACCGTTAATCGGGCTGATACACCTGACGGATTTCCAGAGCCGTTTATAAGCTCGATCTCCTCTCCCTGAGAGTGCACAGGTGGTCGAGCTTCTCCTCGCCTGCCGCGCTGGTCACATGACCTCCCCGTTAACCAATCATCGTCGAGCACCTCAGTCGTCCTTTCCCACTCGTCAACCAATCGGTGTCGGGCCTCGCGGCCACACTTTCATCCAGGCTTCACGAAATGTCAAACACTTAACCAAAAAACGTTTCACGTAATAAATAAAGAAATAAATAAACTGCAATATGTCAGTGTGACGTCGCAGAAAGTTTCTTCGTCATCCGCCGAACTGCAAAGTGCGGAGATTGGCTTTTCCAAGTGCTTTGCTGGGAAGCAGACGCTCTAGCTTCCGAAAGGGTACGTTTCGAGACCAACTCGATAGCCTCTTTGCTCTAACAAACAAGCTAACCTTTTTCATAAAAAAAAAAAAAAAAAAAAAAATTAATCGTGCTGCCACGTTTGCATTTAATTGCATTGCATTTAATTGCATTATAATCAAAACGTTTTCTTTGCCTTCTTTTCGTTGTTTTTTAGAGAGCTGATTTATTCTGACTAGACGAACTTTTCAATAAATATTTATGGTGAATTTTTGTGTACTAGTGTTCATATTAGGGCTGGGCGTCGGTAAAAATGTTATCCCAAATAATCGGCATTCATTAATTGATTAATTAATCGACTGATCGGTTTCAATAATTCACATGCATATTAGTTTTAAGAACAAAAATGGTGAAATTATATATTTTGCCTTGGCTGAACATGTAATAAATGGCGCAGTACGATATCCGATTTTAAATCAACCCGTGTGATTAAGAACCGTCAAAAGACACCCACACTCCCAAATATTACTTCATCCGCAGAGGCAAAGAGGTTCGTTGATGTTCTCCGCCAATAGCGAACTCCTTTGATTGTTCACAATAGGCCCTGCTGCGCTAAACGGACACTCGCACGGTGTTGAATTGTCTGGGAAATGTTTAACTTTCTCCACTCGTTTAGAGTTACAAATCTCGCAACTACAGTTTACTTTAGGTCTAAATGTCACCTGAAGTTTGCCTTCCTACAGGTTTCTTCATGTCCATCTGCGTAATGAAATCGTTTAACATTTACTTTTTTTTTTGGTCTGTAAAACGCTGACTGGTGAACCGGTAAAACAATTAATCGCTATTAAGGCATTGATTGATTAAACAGCAGGTTTATCGTTCAAGTGCCCAGCCCGACTTCATGTATTTAATTGGCAGCTCGTGACATCTTGAAATCTGGGAAAGAAAAAGTGAAAGGGGTCGTGATTTGACTTTTTGTGTTCTTGACGTTTTTTTAACGAAATCATCCTTAAACAACAATCCAGTTCATGCATACTGAACATGACGGTAAAAAGTAAGACGTGAAAAAAAGTGAACAAAAAACTCAGAAACAATAGAAAAAAAAGTGGGACAGTCGACCTCTCCCTCTTCCTTTTTGAGTTTTACAACGGATGTACACTTTCGTCTGTGGCAATGACAACTCTGGAAAGGGTGCATAAAGCCTGGGAGGGATACATTTTGTTGCTGATTTTGAGATGTTGTCTGTCTCATTTTTGTTTTTGTTCCTTACTGTTGTAACATTTTTCCACCCCAGTATACCATCCTGTTTAAGGAGTTAGTTGACGATTAATACATTCATCAGAGATCGGTAGGATAATATAGAGTTACTAAAATGACCAGGCTTAGTCTAAATTGAGCCTTAAAAATCGGCGTCCGTACGTAGCAACCTAAACTCTTCGTCAAATGTGTATTTCCCAGCTCTGCTCTACCTAGTAAAATTCCAAAGCGTAGCTTTCCTTCTGTAAAAAAATAAGGCCAAAAACCTTGTCAGAATCAACGGCTGATGGCGACGCAGACCACAAGTCGAGTGGCGGGTCGCGTTATGCGCACGCATTGATAGATGGCGTCGGGAGCAGCGTCCGAAGGTGTCCCCGACCATGCAGCGAAAGAAAGCAGAGGACACTAAGGTGAAATCCGTCAGCATCAGGAGCGCCGTCGTTATGAAACCGCGCTTTCTTTTTTACTGGAAGTTTGGCTCCCATAGTCGGAATTTATTTTTAAACCAAAGGTTCGTAACATAAAAGATTGTGTTAATGTTAATAGACCACGGTCATCGTGACCACTCGCGATAAGGAGGTAGCGTCATCTGTCTATACGTTCGTCAAACGCGCCCCACCACTCGACTCGGTAGTCTGCATCGCCCTCCGCCGTTCACCTTGGCAATTGTTTTGGCCTTATTTTTTAGAGAAGGGGAGTTACTCTGCAATTTTACGAGACAAAAGCTAGCTTGTAAAATATACTTGTGACGAAAAATTCAGATTGCTGCGTGCAGGCGCTGATTTTTACGGCCCATTTTAGATCGAGGCTGGTTATTTCAGTCACCCTATAGATTTATCTCTTAGCTATAGCTGAAATAATGCCTTCCGTGTGAATCTCGGTAAAGTGTACATCCAGAAACACCTTGAGGGCTTTTTTATACAGTCTGACTACTGAAAAGTTTCCAGAGCGGAAGCGTATGACTGCAACAGTAATACACTCAGAAGCACGTGCAATATTCTGAGGCAGTGTGCGCGCACTTTTTTTTTTTTATTATTTTCGATAAAGAAACTTGGCAGTGAATACAACTCTTGAAACAACACGACAGTATGCATTCAAAGGTGCAGGACGTGGATTCCTTCAAACTTTTTGCTCCATGATTTGTTTTTTTGGCATTCTTAACAATTCCCCAGTTCTTGCTGAAATAATGCCTTCCTTGCGCGTAGTCGTGAGGTATACACTCAGAAACACCTCAAGGTATAAAGAAAGGTTTCGGTAGACTTTGAAGAACGGAATATCTTTCAGAGCTGAAGCATGTTTTATAACTGCGATAGCGATACACCCTCAGAAGCACGTGCAATATTGTGAGGCATTGTGTGCGCACTTAATTTATTTTTCATCGACAAACAAGTCTGATTTTTTCAAAACAACACGACACTATCCAATGGCAGCTGAAGAGGCGCAGGACGTGAATATTTTTTACGCTTTTTACTCCATGATTCGTTTTTTCGGCATTCTTATATGTTAAAGTTAAATCTCAACAATAACGCATCAGTTCTTCCAAACTGACGCGTTTTTGCTCCTTTCTCCACGTTTCGTCGAGTGCGTGAACAAAACATTTAGAAAAGAGAGAGAGATTTGGTGTGCATCTCAACGTCGCTTGAAAACGTGACGCCAATAAAAATGAATATGCGAAGACTATACTTGAGAGTTTGCCCTATTCTTAGGCAATAACTATAACTGGTATGCCAACAAGAAAAATCTGAGCAGAGTTTGAAAGACAACAACAAATATATAAGACAGCGAAAATGATAAAGAATAACAGAGAAAAATATGAGCTTTGGCAGTATTTAGCACCGTCACGGTGCTAAATACTGCCAAAACAAACAAAAACGCAAAATCGGAGTTACAAAATGCCCGTAAAAATTAAATTCAACTAACGAAAGAAAACAAAATACAAGGGGTTTACGCGTATGGGTTTTTTGCCCGCATCAAAATTTAATACAAATGCTTGGTAAAGTTTGTACAAATTAACTGAACGCTAGAAAGTATACGGCAAAAATGTAAGTATGATAAACAACCAACTAATGCATATTACCACGCGCAAAGCACGCGATATTAATGGCAGTTCTAACGGAAACTGGTTAAAATTGAAACATATATTTTCAATATTAATGAAAACAACAACGAAAACGATCTCCAAAAACAAAAACAAAAACAACAACAACATTAAGAAAAACGTTATACAATCCACCTCAACAAAAGCAGCAACAACACTCGGGCAAGGCACACATCCCCTTATACTTTCGGCGTGAGAACAGAATGGCGGCGCTAATGTCAAATGCAACACGTGGAGAACCCCTTCAAGAAACGTGTTGCCGCGCAAGCGTGTTGCATACCGATTCAATGGACAGACGCGGTCGCTTTCGAGACAAATTTCTTGATAGTTCGGAGAAATAACTTTCGGCGTCTTGGATCCTTGGTCGTCTTACTGGGTGGCAACTGGCTTCTTTCACGTGGTCACCGGCAACGGCGAATTCAGACGTGGAGGAACACGACCGTTGCGGAAACTCGCAGTTTTCCCAGCCGGGCAGCCGCCTCCGTCTTCTAGGGGAATGCGGAAGCAGATGCAAAAAATGAAATATATTTATAAATACGCCTCACTTTATAAAGAAAAAAGAAGTACGAGGAAAGAAAAAACCGCTAATACACTGAGAAATCGTTTCCATTCCTCTTCTGCCTCAGCTGTCGAGCGAAGAGTCTGAGCGTGAACAGTATAGCCGGTGTAAAAAAAGAAGCGACGACGCTCAAGATGGGCCTGAAACATAATAGCCAGATGTGTTTTCCTGCTTTGCTACCATCCCACTCCCTTTCCTACTCTCATCTCTTTCTTTCACATTTTTACCATATCTTGCTTATTTTATTCTTTTATTTTATTTTCAGGTCTGGCTGGAGGGTAGGTTTTTTCTCACCTTGGCTCTAATGTGCTTCTCTAATGAGAGCAGTGAAAGAAGTGAGTCCGTTACAAGCGTTTCCCGTTCCTCAAGCGCATCTTCAATTGCACTTTTTAAAGTTTCCGAAAGCTTTTTGCGATAAGGAAGGATGTCTAATTTTGTTGATAAATTGAGGCTGGATGTCTTGCTGTTCACGTTGCTATTGTGTTCTATGCTTTTTTTTTTCTTTTTTTTTTATGAATGTATTACGGGTACTGTAAGTGCTTACGTATAAGGACCGGGAAACCAGACGTTATGGTGTCGGAATTTTGCGAAAATTACTCTAATTCCGGCAGACAAGAAGAATTTATAGCGCTTGCGATACTATTGTATGTAAGTTTACGACGTTAATACTGCTTCTTATGACCGGTGTTTTACGCATTACTTGTTCAAAAAAGACTACATAATAGGTTGAAGCATCGGAAAATAAACTCTGCGTTGACCAGTTTTGAGCGACGCTGTCATGGCTCAATGAACTTTGGAGCATGTACTTTCCCTCAAGGTACGGAGAGAGATCGGTCAAAGCGGAAACCAAAAATATGTTTAAAGGGATACTTTAACGTAATTTGAAATATACTCGTCGCGTTCACAAATAGGCTGAATATGATCTGCAATATTCGTAATTGACAATCGCACGTTTGTATTTTGAGCCTGAAGGCTGTATTTTTCGGTATAAACGGGCCACTCTGGCGAGCGCACGTCAAGCAGCCAGCGAAGAACACGTGACATCCGGCGCAAACGTGACGTAGATTGTCTCAGGACGAGCAAAGCTGCGGCGAGGTTGACGTCGACGGGATGTCCTAGCCATTTCAGCCAACGAGCCGCCGAAGCACGCCAGCGATCGGGCCACCGCAACTAAGCCCAAAGCTGCTTTTGTGCGAATTGTGTGTGACGGGCTATTGGAACGATAGCGGCGTTAGGGACAAAAAAAAAAAAAAAAGTCCCGGTGAGAAAAGAGTTCCTCCTTTTCCTCTTTTCTCGTGGTGGAAGGAAAGCTCACGGGATGATGTGAGGCTCAAGGCATGTATAGTTCTAGTCGAGACAGGCATCGTTCCTATCTGTCATGGTTCCTTGACTGTCATTACAAACAAGGCTTCTGCGACATTCATCAGGTGTCCTTTGATAATCGTTTAATTTCTTCTAAAATTTCTTATCGTGTCTTTTCATGGAGAGTGTCCGATGGGAGACTGCCCTCTTGAACACGTATAAAGCAAAAAATAAGTGCCGAAATTTCGTTGTAATATCCCTTTAAACCCCACAAAAAAAAAAAAGAAAAAGAAAACAGTTTTTGCTGTGAAATTGAGGAGGACGTTTTACGATGCTTAGCCTTACAGCGCAAACAAGCTTTGAATATCTAAATATAATATAAATCCCTTCATTCAGCGAGCTTCCTGGGGGAAGGTAGACACTCCAGCTTTCCAGCTTTTTCGAATTCTAGTTAAGATTCCGAACCGCTGTCAGAACTAAACTACTTTACCAGGGATCTTCACTTCGCCGTCTGTCACAGTTTCTTCGCGTAGATGCATAATCGCAGAAATGCCGATCCCTGTTGTCAGAATTTCGCGTTGTGTTTGCGGTGTTCCGAGAACCCTTTCAAGTGGTTCTACAGCGAGCGTGGGTTTGGCCGTTCAAATGAACCCCCGCGCTAATTTCCTAAAAAAAACAAAAAAAAAAAAAAAAAAAAACGGAATTGGGAAACGTTGTACCGTCCCTGGAACGCATCATCAGCTGTTTCAAAAGTGTTCCCAAAGTTGCAACGAATTACGCCAGAGGAACGTGTTAGGGTGTTAAATGCTCACTCCTCGCGGTTGGCATTTAATTTGAGGCTACGAAAGACGATAGAATGCATGCGTTGTAGTCGTCGCGGCGTCCCAACTCGTAGCTGCAAAACGCTTCCGTGGACTATCAGGCTGAGAGCGTGCTGCAACATGACAGGCGTCTGCCACATTCGCCTCCACTGTTCTGCAACCGCAACGATCGCAGCACTAAACAGCATAAAATTTCCCCAACGTCAGCGGGCGGAAAACAAAGGGACCACATTTGCTGACACGGTATATACACTCCGCTTAGAGACGCCCTCCAGGCCCCATATAGTTCAGAAGACAGATCGCTAAGTACCTGGGGATTTTGAACATTTCGAAAACTGGTCAGTCATCGCGGAATAGTTTGCCGTATACCTTTCTGGTCGTCCTTCCAGGGCGTCAAGTCGATCGAAGGAACGGCGTCGCAGTTTACGAAGGCTGGGTTCTGCCGCCGCGGCACCATAAACACGTCCTCCGTCACCCTGGTTATGTTGTCGCCGTTGTCGCACAGAACTCGGGCGAGGGAAACACGCCGAAGCTCGTTGAGTTGGTCCTTTGTGAACGATCCTTTGTTCTCATACCATAACCTGGGTTGGGCAAGAAGGATCACCACATCTTCAGACAAATATTGAGCCAGTTCGATATGTTAAGTTTTAACGCACCTACTCAGGCACGTGTAACAAGGTCACAGCATAATTGCGGCAAGGCAAGCATCTAGATTATACTAATTTTATGTGCCTGCTATTTGCACAATTGATCAATAAAATTAAGAATGCAGTAACATTTGTTAGGAAGAACGTTTAAAGAGCTCCTAGATGACTGAAAGAACCATCCCATCTGATCGATCGTTTGCCTTTTGAGAACATTCGAATGGGTAGAACAACAAAGTCTGTTCCTTCGTTTCAGGGTTACTATGGATGTCATTCGAATGGGTGTTACTATAGGTTTATCACTCACAAACCTAATTTTCTGTAACTCGAATACGTCTCTCTGCCTCCTACACCTGACTTCACTTATTACTGAGACACTTACCTGTCACCGTCTCTCACCCTGGCGAACTGTCCGCTCAGCAGGCAGAGCAGCGTAGGTCCCACCTTGGAACCCGGCACTGGCTCTTCGCAGATGGCGCCTACCCAGGTATCTATGTTATCTGCATCGAGTGAGAACAGTTTACACGTATCCCCTTGCGTAGAGTTAATAGCTCCACCTCTAACGTGCCACCTTCTGGTTTCAGGGGCTCCATCTTAACTCGGAAATGGTGCAGAACCTAAACAACGTATTTTATTTGGGGCATGTCATTGAATAATTTAATAGAATCCCGGCATGTAAATGGCGTGGCTTAGAAAATGAGCTAGGAAGTAGGACGAGATTATTTAGACTGCTGTGGCCAACTCTTTGAATTAAGGAACACTGCATGATACTGTTAGCACAAACAAACAATCGCCGGTTCTCCTTATTTTTAATAAAAATCAATACGCGTAGGCAGTCCATGATGGTCGAAATTGATCGCTTAGGGTGTACCTGCCAAAGCTATCTAGGAATATAACTCAATAGATAATCGATGTCATGTTACCACTAACAGAGTCGTCCAGTGTACATTCACAACGGCGTGCGCACGAGACGTCCGCACACTTGTGTTATCTTTTCTTTTGTCCGCAGCATACCGGGAGTCTTGTAGAGTCGTTCCAGTTTCTCTCTGAGGTCGTCGCTTGTGATCTCGTGCCTGAGGTCGTGGAAGTTCCTCGCCCTTGTCAGGTTGCAGAACTGGCGCCAACGATTGTAACCGGGGAGTCCGTGATCGCGACCGCGCTGGATGTTGAACGACGCCAGATCTTGGGCCACGATGAGAGCAGGCTGCAAGGTTATGATCGACTCACTCGGTGCTTCGGTGGTGGTGAGTGACTAATTTACCTTCAACTCGGAGTCGCTGGTGTGTCCCGCTTTCAGTATTTCGCGGTGCGCTTTCTATGCTTCAGCCCAAAATGGCAAGGACTTCGTAATATTACACCTTTTCAGGAGATTATAATAAGCCACAGAAACAGTCGGAAATCAATTTGATTTTTTATTGAAGTTATAAATGCATGTTCATTTTTTTGCAAACTGAATTACGCATACTTTTAACTCCGGAGGAGTGACGCCTTTCATCAGAAGCGACGTGAAGGAGAGAAGTTGGCATCTACTGCTTATCCGCGTGTGCATCTAAACTCAGAGCCGTCTGGAGGGCATTAGGTGAAACAAAGGGATGGGGTTTAACTGCACGCCACTAGAGTTGCGAATGAACGCAATGTTCAAGTAAAACTGTTTTTTTTTGTTTTACTTGAACGAAAGGCGCTCACACAGACGCAGAGCATTTGATCTCAGTGCCGATTCACAAGGTCAAACATCAAAACTTCCTGATGGCGTCTTAACAACAATTCAAGCTTTGACATTCCGCACTACCTGCAAAACTAAAGCCCGTTCCTACGCACGCCAACTGTCGACAATTTTGGCGGGCAAACGCTCTCATTTAGGGACAGTAATGTGGTATGTATATAAGCCGTTTGTTCGCATACAGGCTTAACACAAAAGCAAGAAAACAAACTTGCCTCAAACAGATGATCTGTGAGCTCAGAGTTGAGCAGCTGGTCCGCCTTCCGGAGCTTGGCAGAGGCCACAAAGAGGCCCCTCATGAGGGGATCGATTCCCCCTTCTCTCAGCAGGAGATGCGGAGCGAAGAACGCCCTTCTCAGCGGCACGGGGCCCTCGGGCACGGGCTGGAACCTCTCGTCGAGCCTCAGGAGAACGGGGTTGATAAGGAAGTGCCCGAACCTCAGCGCGGCCGTCGCGAACACGTTCACGATGGACGGATTTGTCTCGGAGTCGTAGCCCCGGTACGGTCCCATGGCAGCCATCCCCACGGGTCCCAGGATCTTGGGGAGCCAGTGGGAGTACGTGATGTGCTGCATCTGGGCTCCAACTATCTTGCGAGTTTCCTGAGAGACAAGAAGAAGGGACCTTTACGACACGGCCCGTTTGCTCGAAGCGCTAACCGCGGCTAAAGTTAGCCACAGTACCTAGGAGAGGGATTTTAAAATCACGTGACTGGCTCGGTAAGGATGCGGGGAAACATGGTGGTGCCCCGGTGAGTGAGCGCCGCTCGCTTTAAAACTAATATGTCGTTGTAGCTGCAATATCGGGCGCGTTATTCAGCAACGAATGGTGCAGGAGGCTTTAACTTTGCCTTACCTCACTTAAATCGCAAAGCATAAGCAATGAACTCGCAGCATTTTTTAGATAGTATTTCGATTCTGGCCATTCCTAAGCCTAAATGAGCGCGATAATCGTCGGCATGGCAACGTCTTTGGAAAGTGGATTGCCTTGACCCAATCGACCGGGTATGGATAGCACACAAAAAGCAGACAGCAATCCAATAGACCTTTTTCTAAATTTGGAAAGCACCGAGGGGAATGCTACAAGTGTAGTTGCACGCGTTGCACATGCTGGCGTCTGTAGTTGTAATTGTTCTAAAGAAAAAAGTCTAAAACAAAATTTTGCCTTGCACGCGCGTTCGTCAAAGCCTTGTTATGAGTATTTACATCGAATCTTTTATAAGACGAAGGCCAGCGCGCGCGGACCGTGGAATTACACTTCCAGCGTTCTCCTCGATGCTTGGGTAATTTAGAAAAAAGTATATTGGGACACTGTCTGCTTTTGTGTGCTATAAACACCCAGCCGATTGAGTCAAGGCAATCCGCTTTCCAAAGATGTTGCCATGCCGACATTTATAGCGTCCTTTTAGGCTTAGGAATGGCCAGAATCGAAAGACTTTAAAAAAAAAAAAAAACGCGGCAATCATTGCTCGAGTTTTGTGATTTAAGTGAGGTAAGGTAAAGCGATAGCCTCCTGATCCAATCGTTGCTGATTAACGCGCCCGATACCGCAGCTACAACGACATATTAGCTCCAAAGCGAGCGGCGCTGACTCACCGGAGCACCGCCATGTTTCCCCGCATCCCTACCGAGCCAGTCACATGATTTCACAATCCCTCTCCTACGTACTGCGGCTAACTTTAGCCGCGGTTAGCACTTCGAGCAAACGGGCCCTGATAGATAGCAAGGCGGTATTGCTGGATTCTCCACGCTAAAACCGGAGGCAAGTGCATCCCAAAGGTTGCTGCACCGAAGTGCTGCGATAGCAACGTTCGGCTGGCCCTTGTGTGCTCCCTCATTCAGCACGAGTCGGCACTTTACGCGGACGCAGCTGTCTAATCTGCCCCCCCCCCCCCCCCCCCCCCCCCCCGCACTGGTCTCCGGTAGGTAGCGCAGAAAATCCAGCAGTCAGGCTTTGTTATCCAGGAGGTCTTGGATACCACTGAGAAAACTAATCACAGCAGTTTACGACAGATGACAGATGCACGGTAGATTAACAGGCCGAAAAAAAAAAACGACATCATTGTGATCTTAAAAGATGTGCTCTGTTGCAATGAGAATAATTTGAACCATGAGTGAACATCTGATAGCAATTATACAAGCTAGGCGTAGCAGCGCCAGACTACATTTGTCAATAAAAATATCCTTGTAACACTCGCAATTTTCGAAACTCCATCCGAAGGAGTCAGTGATTAGATTTCCGATTTGTCTTTGGAAAAGCAGATGCTAGGGCCGTAAATACACAATGCGTTTATTAGAGTGGCGTAGTGCGTTTTTTTTCGAGAGGCTAGACCACCAGGCGTTTGGCTTGGCCTTTAACATTCCCCTCTAAATTCAAATGGGATTTAAGGGATGGACCCGTGCATATTTACGCACTTTTGAAAGTGCTATATAACTATGATAATTTATTCTTCAATTCAATCCGTGCATATTATTCCATAATCCAATGGATATATAGGTTCTACGAGCATCTGAATTTGCACGGTTCGGTGTAAGGAAACAAAATAATTTCGAGTGTAGATGCTATTACCGGTCCTCTCTGCATCCGTGCTCTACTTGGACTTACCTGGTAGAGCCGTTCCCCATCCCAGTGAGGGTTGACATCGTGAAGGAGCTCGGCGAGTCGGTTGTGCTCGCGGAACCATAGGGTGTGCATGGACAAAAGACCAAGCTGTTCGTTGGCCCTCACATCGCCGGCGAGGAAGCAGTCCACATCAGTTATCTGCGTAAAAACAAATCTAAGATAAGATTTAACGTGCGTTCTCCTGATAACAGTTAGTGGAATTAGCTAGTGACAACATTGTTACAGTTATAGTTTTATGATATAATGCTTCCATATCAAGACACGCTGTTTACAAACAAGGCCCCCTGCTCCAAGTACCATGCTTGCGTGTGTGCAGAAGTCGATTTCGGGTCAGATGTTTGCACATGCGCCGTGCTCAAAGCAGCGGCATGCAGCGGCGTGACTTCAAGGCGGCGCGTGGGTTCACCAAGGCTAGGGATTCAAGAAAATCTGTTAAAATTTTACTCGCCACAAAAAGCTAGGCGTAATGGAAAACTCTTTACTTGTCCTTAATCTGTGGTTTGGGTTAATATAAGCTGTAAAAGAAAAAGGTTCGGATATTAAAAGGGTCATGAAACGATTTTTAAACTTTTTCATTCTTAGCTTTTCTCCCCAACTCACAAATCGCGCACTGTATGAAACAGTTCAAGACGACAGAAAGAACGGACTCCCCTCATGCTGGGACCCTGGTTTGAGTACCCGGACCTGGCCATTCTCCTCCTAGAAGGTTAGCCCGTCGCTGAAAACTGGAACAAAAGTTGCTTTCCCCAACCTGTTCTCCCCTAAGCTGACAGTGCCGTGGAAGCTACGTGCTTGTTGGGCCAGCCACGCTTTTGCAACGTGATCATGCCTCACACATTACCACACGCACATAATGAGGTCAGGTGATGAAAGGGAGGCGGGTGATTGGTCTGGCAAGCGCGTATAGTCTCCACCGCACTGTGAGCTTAGGGGTGAAGATAATAAGTGAGGTCGGGTGTCGTGGGACCTGCGTTTGGGCCCGGTGACGCGCTTTGGGTACCGCGGACGTTTCACAGTGAGTGAAAAGGCAGAGGTCTTACGAAGGGAACGGGGTGCGAAATATTCCGCTGTGTTTTCAAATTTGCGTACCGAATATCAGGCTTTTGACATCCTACCTTCTTTCTTTTCGTTCACCAAACGATATGATATGAGTAAAATGCCAATCTAAATTAATTTATGAGAGACAAAATTTGTTTCATGGGCGCTGAAAACTAGGACACATTTCTAGATAAATTGATGTTTGGTAACTGCGTGCGTTTTTGGCACACACGCCCACCAGCATTAAGATGTCCAAATACCTTTAGTGGCGCCTAGAGATTATGCGCGGCATCACCTAGCGGAACAGACGCAAAGGACGTAAACGAGCAGCTCGGATGTTTGTATCCATATAAAGTGAAAACTTTCACTGCCTAATTGTTGAAATGTGGAAGTGGCGAATAGCCCTTCACCTCGGAATTCCGCTTGCAGTCATTCGGTTGTCCGTCGTTGAAGGGCAGGAGGAACTTCCCGGAGGGCATACGAGGACCGACCCTAAGCAGTCCCAGGTCGCTGGTCAGGTTTCGCAGATGGACCGCCTGTTTGGGCCTGCTGCCGTACACGTTGGAAGCGTCGATGAACGACGTCAGCTGGTTGGTCTGCTCCCGTGGCATCAGGCCGCCGTAGAACATGGACGTGCGACCGGAGCCGCAGGCGGTGCTCGAGCGCACGAACTCGATGCAGCGGTGGCCGCGGACTCGCCGGTCGTCCGCCGGGACCTGCATGCACATGGTGTCCACCGAATGAGTTTGGGCGCGTGCGATCGTAGAAGCGGAGGAACTGCAGTTTGGCCGTATACTTTCCGGTGTTTATTTAGAGAAAAAATATCGGCGGATGCTCTTCAGAGTTCATTCATTTTTTATATATTGGTGTTTTTTAGTGAGAATAAATATAGGCCTCCACCCGAAATGGAGCGCAACTCGAGCTCCATAGGCGACTTGTGGCCGCTTAATCGGCGTGTTTTGTTTTTATATCGGTGTATTTCGCATTATTTATTTCGGACGGGCGCTCAGAACAGTTTTAATCAGTTGAGCACCTGTCATGAAAAAACCTAAGAGATTAAGTCTAAAAAGGAAAAGCTTCTGACAAAAGAAAAAACAAACAAAAACAATCCAGCTAAAGAAACAACTTCCAGGAATTGGTGTTTTTCGGTTTTCATCGATTTTTTAACACCCACTATTTTTTTGGGTTGTTTTTGCTTAATATCAATATCAATTTTGTATTTTGGACATCGATGGATGTTCATCAGCGTTTCTAGTTTAAAACCCTAAATTCTACGTCGTAGCTATACTCCGATCTCTCCTAGGTTGACAGGGAGCCTGGAGTTATGCGATCGCCGTTCCATTGATCAGACTCCCTTTGTTCACCTGGCGTCGCTCGTGTGCACGGGTGGAAGCGTAATCACGTAACAACAGTAGGGCGTATGATTGGTCCAACAATCACGTAGTTTCCACTCTACTATCAGCTTAGGGGTGAAAGGTGTATAGTCAACGCCCCGTTTATTACATATTTTTAACTTTATAGGGCCAATGAAACACGGCGGGCTGGCTTTCTTTCTGTATTTACGAGTGTCAGATATTAAAGTGAAGAAAGAATGCATAGCTTGTTCACTGAACCCAAAAAAATGTTGCAGCCGCAGTCACAATAGAAAATAACCCCATGCGCAAAAAAGCATGTTCTACATTCTGTTTTATGTAGCCTTTGCAATATGTGCCCAAAGAAATGAACGATGCCTAGTACAGAGTGTCGCCCACCTCCTCAGTGCCTTATTTGCCCCACTTGAGTCCTAAATAAAAGGTATTTTAACCGCATACACCAGCGCTATAATGTGCATACATCGTAGAATGCTGGTTGGGTATATAGTGCCACCAGATGCCTTCTACAGCACCGAAAAGGAATTGGAGTACAACAAAAAACTTCTACGGAAGCTTTCTTTTTCTTCAAGAAAGGAAAACAGGTATGCTAGTTGTCCTGACGTTCAATGCATGTGTGGAAGTGGGTTATTGATTATGTGTAACTTAATCAAAAAACGCATACGAATTACATAACCAGTGAGACCAATTCTTTCACTATTATAAACCATGGGGACATCTGTAAATGTGTTTTCATGTGCTGTAATCTAACAATAAACTAATACGCTCATCCGGAAGTGTAACGGTAAAATATTAACCTATGACTAACAAGCTCATCGCAATACGCTAGCGTAACGTGTGTCACTAACCTATAGATGGTATGTGTGTGGTGTCCCCATTTTTCGTTTTCCTCAGTTTCGAGGTTCTCCTAAAATGATCTTATGGAGGCTTTTTCGGGTCATCTAAAGCCAGCGCGCAAATGGCGCACTATCAGCCCTGTGCATTTTTGATTTCACGTTGACTGAGGAATTGCAATCGTCAAGGGTACGGCGAAAGGGCTTAGAGGAGTATAACGTGCGTGAGTTAGTTCCAAACCTTTATTATTACCATTTTACCATGCACGCCCGAAAATCTACAGTCGTCGGACTATTAAGGCGCTGTCGTTGTGTGCATAAAAATATTTAGTGTAAAAACAGTCACAGAGACTTGTGCGATAGATAGGCTGAAGAGCGGCAGCACGTGGTTTTGTCCACACCACCTTCACGGATCTCGATTTACGACGTTGTCGTTATCAGTCGTCAATCGTCAGGGCTTTGTGCCAGACTCATCGTTCATGGCACACTCAGACTACTTCGTCTGAGACAAGCGGACTGATTCCAACACGGTGCCGGTGCACCCACTAAATTATCTCAGCAAGGTACGTTATCCTTTCATGGCAGGAGAAAGGCTTGAGAAAGCCTACCTGCTGCCGCTCAAAGTACGGGTTTTCAAATATCAAGAGCGAACGTGCTTCTGCTACATTCAACTGCTCATATGCTTTCTCGTTGTAGAAAATCAATCAAAACATCCCATCGTCTTTGTTGTCGCTCCTTTGAGAAAGGAAGGCACTTGTCATAAGCCAGCTCGCTTCAAACCGCCAAGTTCCCAGCCAAGTCTAGCCAAGTTTTCCAAATCAAGCAGTTTAAAAATCGCCGTTTCAGGAAGTACTGGCTTGAATATACTTGAGCACGGGTACAAACGAGCGCGGGCCCTTCCTCGACCAAGAAAGCTAAATTGTGCTGGCCCAATTACAATATAAGGCCATAGAATGGGCTTTCCTAAAGTCCCCTTTGTGTCTCTATGTCTTATTTTTTGCTTCCAAGTTTGTTTTAAAACGTATCTTTCATTTTTTAATGGGAGGAATCTTTCATTTTGGGAATTTCTCGAACCCCGTTTTCCCCCGGTGGGTGGCAATTATTCTCAGAATTGTGGAAACTCACACTGTTGTCTACGCAGACCCATCCACCACCAGCCTCTAAGATACCCAGTCCAGTCAAGACAAGGTCCGCCCATACGCGGACCGTTGCCTTCGCAGAGCCCAGCCCACTAGTTTTACAAGCGCTAGGCCGCTAGACGACGTCTTCGTGGCCACAATTTGAAGATGGCGCCGAGCTTGTAAAAAAAAATATTAACCTGCAGAAACGTCTTCATTCTATGCACAAGTCCGTGAATGAATAACCGTTCTCCGGTTAGTTAAACATTACCGTTTGCCATACTTTCTTCTCTACATTTTTCGTAGAAGGTCACTGTTTCTCCGCTCACTGATGCACAGCTTCAAATGTATCAAGTAAGTTGAATTTTGACTGAGTTGAGAGAAACAGTGGCAGCCGCTCTTGTATGTGATCTGCACAATGGGGGGAGTCATTGTTTTCAGCATCTAATGGTGTGTCTGGTGTCGGTATTTCTCGGAGACTGTGCACATCATGAAGAAAGTGTCTCGTCAAAAGGAATTTTGCCGTAGGCGCACGTCCGCGTCCACGATGGTGACGAAATTGAGCGTGCACGTGCCCATGGAGAGATTCTTTCGGGTAGACAAGTTACAGTAGATGGTTTTATAAATAATCTGCAAATCAGTCAATATTTGAACTTGCACTATGTCATGACAGGCTTGAGTTTAGACTTTAGACTAAAATAAATTCTACAACCAGAGTTCGCATAACTTTTAATTACTCAATTAATTATTCAACAAGGAGAGTCAGGAGTACAGGGTTGTTTGGCGCGACAGCTCAACCTGTGCTAGAAGCCTTTCAACCAAAGTTTGTATTACCGATGGAGACGACAAGAAATATGGACACAAAGTGGCGAACTGGACAGGCGATATCCACGTGTTTCGAAGATCTTTGATTAGCTGCTTGTAGAATATTCCGATCAGTGGCTCACCTTGTTACCAAGAGAAAAGATTTTGAGATCCACTTGAATAAAGGATCTGAAACTGGGTATTTTCGAACGTTCTTTGTCAGGGAAACTGCCTGCGTCTGGGAATCGATTCCTTTGAGCTGGTGTTTCCTATTTATGCTGGTCGTCTCTTTGTGTACGCAATCCTGTTGGCGCGTTGGATAGTGCGATGTCTACATCGAACATAAAGTAACAAGAGCCCGGTTAAAGTTCTCGCAGAACAGGGAAGAAGAACATGGAAAATATCGCACTGTCTCAGGTTCTTGCAAGCTTCATCTCATTTTTATCTGGTGGTTTTATTTTAATTTGGTGTATTGGGAACCCTTAGCTTTCTTGCTTGATTTACCTATGAGTCTGCACTTTCACGATTTAAATCTTCATATAACAAGCGTCGGCCCCTTTTATATGCAAATAGAAACCAACGTCGCGGCCGGAAGCAGAACTCAGTATTACATTCCTTAGCCCAGAAGGAAAAATTCAAATCGTGTTAGACTGCGCAGAACGAAAAGGCTTAAAAATAAACAAAAATCACTCAAGCACGTGTGAAAAAAACAAACAGATAATCGCACAGAATTCGGAATATGCGAAAATTGTTTCATCCTATCTTCGAGTGCACAGAATATTTACTGCAAATAAATAGAAGGTGTATTCTAGTTAAAATCATATTTAAGATTTCTGAGTGGAAGATGCCAGCTCGTTATCGTTTGCCGTATTCCTAGATAGAGTTTCGTGTGTTTTCTTTACATGTCTTCCCGCCTTAAGAAGCACGTAAGTTGTCGCTCATTGGCAGTCGACTGCCAAAACACTTTAGGTGATATAGTACTTTAGCTGCCTCTAAGCCGCCACTTCGGTATGTAGAACACTTCACAATACTCTCAGAATCAAGCAAATTATAAGCCTTACCTCAATAGGAAAGCACGGCATGGCATTTTCGCACGATTCGGAGCAGTCCACCGTGTCGATGAAGCGTTCGTGGCTGATCGCTGGAACAGAGAAGTCCATATCGTGGTCCAGGAATTGACCCCACTGCATCAGCATATGCGAGTGCTCGCTGTCTTCCTCGACGACTTGAGTAGATATCAACCCCGTGGATACCGTACGGGCCAGCGGAAGCACATGACCGTTCACGGGCAGATTTGCTGTCCAACCTGAGGAGGCGGTGAAGAAAGCGCTACTGTTAGTTCCTGTTTCGTACCCTGCAGAGCTTAGAGTTTTATGCTAGCAGCGACAGCCTCCGCGGGGTAAAAAGCTTGACGGTTCAGGCCTTTTGACGTGCATGGCGGCGTACGAGTAGACTGAAAGACCGTGTGTTCTTCCACACTTGGCATGATTACATGTGCTGTTGAAAGGCATAAGTAAAAAAAAATGGCGTATTGTATGAAGGGACATTGTGGTTATGTTTTTTTACAGTACTATGGTGGGAAGCAAGTGCCAATGCAATTGCGTAACACTGAGACTTACGTGTATATCAGTTCTAGAATACGTCGTAGACAGGGCACGGCATCTGCTTTCCCTTGATTCCCCAGTCAAGCTATGCTATCCGCAGGGATGGGCAAAATACATGCAAATATGTATTGAATAAACATACAAAATACTTTGTCAAAAATGTATTTAATTACAAATCTAATTGCATTTCCAAAAAAGCATTTAAGTACAAGATACATATACAACCAAATATATTTGGTCTCCTCCAAATACTTTTCAAATACATTCCTCAAAATTTGCGTCAGCGACTTCAGGGCACCTGCAACGGATTTCTGTGTATCTCATTTTAATTTTGCATCGCTCACTCGGGAGTTAGTGTGCGAGGCTCTAGCAACGTAATAGAAATATAATCACAAAAAAATGTAATCAGCTTGGACGTAATAGGTGAAAAAAATACAGAGCTTCAAGCAGCTTTTATTTGTCGATTACATTTTGGTATAGACTAACAAAGAACCGAGACGACCAAGACGCGCAGCACTAGCTAGAGAATTTTTTATTGTTGCAACTCGCACCATTCACGAAAATCTGGACGACCCTCGCATTTAGGATGTTCCAGGCAAAAATATGGATGGAAATCAGGCTAGAAAGCATCACAAGTTGTCACAGGCACTTATTTAGCCAGTCTGCCGGTGAACCTCGATTTCGTCACTATTCTTGCCCTGGACTAGCAACGTAACCGCAAAGTCACTAAACGCTTGTGCTTGATTGAGAGACACTGCATTCGGTGCTGAACGTAGTGTTCTTCCTGCTATGGACAGTGACAATAAATGTGAGGGATGTATTTTCGCCTACAAAATTGTATTTAATTACGATTGTATTTGAAATACCCACGTTTTAGTATTTATACACACACGTCAAATACATTACCCAATTTGTAATTAAATACAAATGCAAAATACACAAAGTATTTGAAATACGTATTTCAAATACTTGTATTTGAAATACTGCCCATTCCTGGCTATCCGCGACCTAATTGTTGTAAACAAGACTGCGTGATCTTTCCATTAGACATTGTTATTCAAGCAATGTGTTTGGGAACCGAAAAGTTAATTTTCTTTTTCAGGTGGACCGTTGAATTTGCGCTGAAAGCACTCATACAAAAGACCATGCACTTTCGACTAGACGTATACGTTTGCTTAGCGCACGTAGTCTGAAAATCTGTTATCTACGAGGGTGGGCTTGGCAGAGGAGGAGACCGACAATAGGCTTAAAATAACGCAAAATTCTGTCAAAAACAAGTGCAGAAAACCAGACAACCTACATGCTCGGTGCACTCTGGGTTGCACTCACCGATTGGAGTATTGAAACCGTTCTCGTACTGGGCAGGGAGCAGCCTCTGGAAAGGGGTCAGCGATGCGCCCCACATCGGATGTTCCTTGTTGTTGCAAGTGCCGTCGTAGGTGCGATAGCGGCTGTGGAAACAGTCGTCCGTGCAGTCCGGGATCCGGCGGTGCTGGAGGCATCCCGACTTCTCCGCCAGCAAGTCCAGATACGACGGAGACAGGAGGTTCCGGAAAGCGAACTCTTCATTGAATCGAAAAGTGGATGGAGAGACACCAGTGAACGGAACTCTGCCAGAGCCCATTTGATAGATTGAACTATGCAGTAAGAGTGATAAAGAAAGAGTAAGATAGTTTGACAGCCTTACAAAAGGCAAGCCATTGAATTGCCATAGTTGGACGAAAAACGCAAAGTTAACAAAAGTTGCTAGAAAGACCTCAAGAAAGAACCTCCTAGGAGTACCAAAGCGGCAGATGTCATTTAAAGAGCCTAGCTTCTTAAAGAAGGCTGAAGTCCTCATTACTTACAATAGCACTCCTTGAAAATAAGAGAAAATATCTACTCCCAAAGAAATTCTAATTATGTCTGCCTGAAAGAAACTGGAATCAAAAGCGAGATTCGCTCTTCGGATCCGTTGAAATGGCCTTATATCTGCGCATTGTAAGATAATTTAGAATTGCTGCTGGCCCCATTCTATTGCAAAGGATATCTAACTACAAGTACAAGCAGTGCTTTTTCTAGGTTGTGTTTTCACGGTGCTCGGTCTTACTCAACACAAGGCCGGTAGTGTGGATTATTTGCGTCATATTCATCGATCGAGTGTCGGGCACAGCTGGGACACGTGCTGCTACTCTCTAAAAACAAAGAGTGTGGTTTTACATTCTTTTGTCCCATATAATACACCCCGAAACTTGAGTTCCACGTAAAGCGCACTGACGCTAAACTGACTGTATCAACTTTCAAGAGCGGCTAGATAGCCCACAAAGTACCTGTTACTAACTAAAAAAATGATAACACGGGTTGTGTCAACCCTACTGAAGAACCTCAGTGTTGTTTTTTGTTTTTTGTAGTTCTAGTCTTTGATACGTGCTTTAGCTGCTTAATAATCAACCCCCTCGTAAAAGTTGGGCCATGTGTTCGACGTAAGTACGCTGTACGTCGAACTGAAATATTGGGATGTATTATATTGAACAAAGCGGTGTAAGACGACACCTTTTCTTTTCTTTTTAGAGTGTATAGCGTCAGATTGGGAATCGTGTTCTATTGGTGCTTCACTGATTAAGCACGAGCTGCAGTCGAGCGGTGACGTAGCGTTCGTCTATGCGAGCCGAGTGCTGCACCAGGAAGACACACACAAAAAAAAATATAATTCTTTTCTTGTCCCCATGAGTTCGGTTATTAGCTTAGTCCGCAATATAAAGCGTAGCAAAACTAAAATAAATTAAATGTATAAAAATTCACTATAGGCCACTAATATTATCCGAGTAAAACTGTAACAATATTCTAACAGAGCCAACGATTTCGCTTTCTAATTAATTGATTAGCTTTATTGAAAGAACCGGCACCGGTCATGTGACAATTTTCCCGCTAAATCTTGCGAGGAATCTGAATGGGTGTTGATATTAGGTGACATCAGTTTTCACGCTAAATCTATCGGGAAACTTAGTTGGCGTTGTATTCGTGTGAAGTCAATTTTCCCACCATATGTAGCGGGAAAGCTGACTTTGTGTACAGGTCGCGTGACGTCAAGTGATGAGGCCATTTTTCCTGCTAAATTTAACGGGTAAAATAAACGACCAGAAATATACGTAAAGTAGCCTGAAGAAATTAAAAAAAAGCTAATCGCTTTAAAAGAAACAAAAAAAAAACGACAACAACCACACAAGCTCCATCATATTGACCGAGATCGAAGAGCACAATATATGTTCAGCTCAAACTACCTCCTCACAGAAGCATATCGGAAAAATTGACATCATGTGAATCAAGACATATGACGTGGCGATGTCACATCAGTTTCCCTGAGAAATTTAGCGGGGAAATTGAGGGGACGGTACTTTGTGAATATTTTCTAGTAGAATTTGACTGATAAACCACATTGTGTGTTATAAACATACGAGAAAGGTTAAATTTGGCTCCGGAAGACACTTGTTCCTGGATGAGACCGAGGGCTCTCTCGAAGATCTCGGCCGCTCTTGCAGTGCGCTGGGCCTCCGAGTCCGGGTAGCGGAAGATCCGCAGGAGCTGGTGGTGGTTGTGACCGGAGCTGCTGCTGTTCAGCAAGTTTTGGAGCGTGCTGTTGATGGCCTTGTCCACGGATTCTTCAGCCTCTTGAAGCGCGGACAAGAAGTACCGATCACCAGGATGCGGTTGTCCCTCGGCAATCGTGTCTGTTAATGAAAAAAAAAAGACGGTATTTTAAAAGAATGTGAATGCGACGGGACAAATGTGGTCATAGTAAGAACATATCGCACGTTAATGTCGCATATGAAGTGAACGTGAAATGCGTTATGTGTTATCGAGGTACTATCGACTTCGCATGAAATGCGAACAACGGAGCGCGTGGCCTTCGGTACATGTTCTGCTACCTAGAGGCAACTAGGAATTGATGAAACTACGGGGTAGAGAGGGGGCTGCGAGAGTGCGGGCTACACTCCGATGTGCATACCAAGTGCCTACCCTCGTAACCCATCTCTCCACTCAGCAATTTTGTCAGTGCCTTGCTGCCCCTAGGTAGCGGAGCATGTATCGAAGCATGTTTACGGGTAAAACAGCGCGAACGAGGACACAGGACAGAGAAGATCTACACAGACGGAGCGCTGTTTTACGCACCGTCCTTGTACAATTCTCTGTCCTGTGTCCTTGTTCGTGCTGTTTTACCCGTAAACACGTTTCACCAACTAGCCCAAATTTCAACAGTATTACGTAATTGGCGTCCCGCTGCGGTGAGACGCCGAAGCGCAGCGTCTCACCGCTGCCGCGAGACGCTGCGGCGATGCGCGAGAACCCGGAAGTGTGTTTCGGGTCCTCGCCGCTTCAAAAGCTGTGCGCTGACGTCGAGGGTCCCCGAGAAATGGCTCTTTGATGCTCTGTGCTACCAGATCTTCGCGCTGCAAATCTGCGACCGGACACTGTATGGCTCCGCCGTCGAACTGCCAGGCTTTCTGAGTACACACACAAAAAAGGGGTGTAGCCCTTACATCCCTTGTCACGTATACGACACCCCTAAACTTCAGTTGGGCGTACATCGCACTGACGATGTATTGGCGCTGCCAACTTTCATGACCGCCTTGATAGCTAAGTTGTACAGCTTATTATTATTATTATTGTATTATTATTGTAAGCATTATTATTATTATTATTAAAATAGCTTACGTAAGCGTAACTGACTGTACAAATATTATAGGGGATTTATTGGCCCTACTGTAAAACCTCAGTGTTTTCTTTCTGTACTCTTTGAAGCTTACTTTAGCTGTTTCATATCTTATATCTCACCGTCATCAAGCCTCTCGTAAAAGTTGGGGCCGTCAGCTTGATGTCAGTGCGCTGTACAGCAAACTGAAGTTTGGGGTGTCGTATACACTGCCCTAATGAAAAATACACCAGGCAATCCTGGTGTGACATCAAAGAATCCTGATGTGACACCAGAATATCTGGTGTGCCCACCAGCGATGCTGATGTATCGAGCACACCAGCCTGGCGTGCCCACCAGAAATGCTGGTGTACCCGCACATCAGCCTGATGGGTACACCAAGGGAGTCTGGTGTCACATCACAAGGACTCATGCGCCGACCAGGCAGCCTGGTGTGCACACCACGCAGTTTGATGTGACACCAGAGTTGCGTTTTTGTTGACTTCTCCCCCCGGTCCGCGCGCGTGTTTTCTATTAGTTTGTGTGCCGCTCCGTCCCCCGACGGGGTGCCTTGTTTCGTCCCGTCTTGGTGGTCGCCGGAGACCCCGCGGCGGGCTCCTTTGTGCTCAAGAAGTGTCCCCCTCGTCCCGAGCACTTTCCCGGGCGGCCTTGAGCAGCTTGGGGCGCTCGCCGGCTCGCCTCTTCGAGGGTTTCTCTTTTCCTTTCCGCCGGTATTCTTGTTTAAAGGCCGCTGTACAAACGGGACGTTCTGCAGGGAAGAACCTTCTCTCCCGAAACTGGAGACGGGGAGGGAAAGGGCCAGCGTTGGGTGGAAAGGGCGTCTAGAGAATGGGATTAGCCTCGGGGCAGAGCCATCCTCTCGAGAGGGAGTAGGGACGGAACATAGCTGCCGTGGAGTTCCGGCTACCAGGTGGAAGATAAGCTTGTCAAACGGCGACCTCGGGTGCGAGGGCGGGCACGTCAGAGAATATGAAAATAGCTGCTTGATTAGCCGGACGACCCAGTGCGGTCTACTGGCTCTAGAAGGTGACTCGGATGAAGAAAACTCGTTTTGCTCCAAAACTCTAAAAGCATTCTGGAACGTGAACTCCTGCCACAAATAAAAATAACACATACATGAAAAACTACGAAGGCACTTAAGCTTTCTCCTATGATGTGAAAATGCGCGAGCATTACAGGCAGAGTTATGTTGGCGCAACTTGCAATAAAGAAAAAAAAAGTTATGTCGGCGCAACTAGGCGCAACGAATAGCGCGCTAGTTTCACGATCAAGAGGGCCTAGCTTCGAAACCGGGCAGGGAATGATTTTTTCTCGTGTTCTTTTTTTATTTCGTTTATTTTTTTTTGTTCGGTCACGTGACAATAAAAATCACATAAACAGAATTTTTTTTTTGGCCACGTCGCCAGACATTTTTTTTATTATTATTACTTCTCCTTTTCCTCTGTCTTTTTTTTTTTTTTTTTTTCGGTTTACGCTCCTTTTTGCAAAACTCTTTGCACCTATTTCGCGTTACATTAGCGTTAGCCAAATCATTTTATTTATGGCAGGGAATTCTGCCGTACGTATCTTATATTACTATTACCAACCCTGGCTTACAATACGCATAGAGAATTCCGTCCGGCAACCAGTTTGGGAATGACGAGGCCAAATTTGTGTTATAATATTTTTGAGGTATAAGCCTAATTTCGGCCTCGCTATCCGTCGGTCTCTATGATTGGCTCTTCAAGTATCTTTTGGGAAGGCAGACGACAGGCATTTTTAGTGTGCACGTGTGTCGACCAGAGTGAACATTGCTGAAGCGCCTCCAGTGTGATTTTGGCCGTAAATAACTGGAGGCCCCGGGCAAACCCCCCCCTATGTAGAAAAGTATCTACCTTTCTCGTTTCATAGAGAGCTATGAAAGGGACGAATCCCAGCCGAGTCAAACTAGAGGCTTGCAAACGCAATCGTGTTGACAACAGCTCCAAGGAGTTTGTATGACTCTCTCTGGCAGTGTGCAGAGGGTAAAGGCACGGAGGTAATATATGCTTTCGCCTAGTCACCTCGCAAACGGTTGGGTATTGGCTGCAGAGATCCATTTCGCTTTGTTTTATTACCGGGATTATAGCTTGATTTCTGTGTTCCTAATTTCACAGAACGAAATCGCTTTTCTCGTGTGGCGTCACGGCGGTGAGACAGAAATGAATCAGTGTACCGGAATTCGACTATTGTGCTCGTTCTATAGCGCTTCTAAAAACCGTGTGATCACGACTGTCCAATTAACGTCAACAATGCATAAACTGCAGTTACTTGTACTCGTATTGCATCGTGAGGGAACGACTATGGCTGGGTAAACAGGAATAGGGAGAATGGGTGCGTGTGATTTGTTGAAGTTCGAATCAACAAATCAAGCTTCAACGAATGCGATAGTATTGCATTCACTGAACCAGCTATATGAGTTTTCAGACGGTATATACCTTCCAAGTATGCGATTCGTGTTCTGCCAGTGGTGCCTCAGCTAAATTAAAAAAGCAAAATCCACGTTGAAAAAAAAAAAAAAATGTTTACGGTGACTCGAGCCGCTCCCGCGCCGAATCATGTTTCACGTAAGCGTAATATTGGGGTCGATGCACGACGAGTTGTCTTCAATCATAAAAATAGTTTGATTACGATTATTGGCAGCGCTAAGAATTTTAAAGCCAAGCAGTGAAGACAACGGTGTTCTTAGAAATATTATATACATTTTATTTTACACTGTTTGACTACGCTGCCGTCGTTATGTTCTTGAATTATTGGCTAGCTTGTGGCGGACAGGGAAGTCTTGCAGGACCATATGATAGGACCTACACTAAACCTGCCGCACTTCAAAAAATGTTAGTCCAATGCATACAAGCTTGTTCAAGGCGGACGGAGCGTTGCGCATCCGGCAAAACGCATACAATCGCTGCCCGCGGCGTTTTTTTTTTTTTTTTTTTTTTTCGGGCCGCGAAATAATTTTTAGTCAAGCAGCAGGCCCCCTCTTCGGCGGGTTAAGCCGGATTAACGGAGGCGTCTCCTAATCCATTCTCCATGTTGTCCCCTCGGGGGAAGGCGGTAAACAGGTGGGGGAGGGCGGTGAAGGAAGGAAAGGAGGGCAGGAGAGGAGGAAACGCAGAAAAAGTGGAAAGCGCGAACTGTACGGCGGCCTTTAAGTTTGAGAAAGTAAAGAAGTCTTCTTTGTGAGTCGAAGCCGAAAAGATGTGTTGGTCCGCTTTCCTTACTTCCGACGAGCTTGGTTTGGTAGCAAAGAAACAAAGGAAGCTAGTAATTATTACTATTTTTGGGGCCGAAATGCCTACTACGAGCGAGGAGGGCGTCGACCGCCTGAACGAGAGAGGATTACCCTGCGAGCCGCCACAACGAAGATCATCAACGAGACTGGCGTCTGCTGGCCACGGATCCAACCGACATCGGTGAGCTCGAAGAAACATTTGATAATCTTCTACTTAAGGAGGCTTCCCTGAAAGAGCTGGACAAGGAAATCGAGCTATCTGTCGAATATGATGCCTTAGAAGAGGAAATTTCTGGTGCGGAGGGGCAAGCTGAAAGGCCAAGAATTTCGGAACGACAGGGCGTCCGGTTCTTCGACGCACGGCAGTGGCTCCGGACAAACTCCAGTTGATCACGCCCAACTCCCTACAACAGTAAAGCTTCAAAAACTTTACTGTTGTGCTTTTTTGCTTTTTTGAATAAAGCAATTATGGCAGCAGCGTTGTTGTCAAACTTATCATTGTACGCTTTTTTGTGAGTAAAGCGACACCCAGTCAACAGGTGGTCTGGTATCATATTACAACAAAACCTGATGTCCCGCCAGAACACCAGATTTCTGGTGTAACCTCAGAACACCAGATTTCTGGTGTCATACCCACACATCAGATTTCTGGTGTCACAACAGAACACCAGGTTTTTGTGTCACACCAGAAAACGTCCCAAATCAAATCTGTGAAAAAGTCTGGTGTAACATCAAGTCACACCAGCCCTCGAGCTGGTGTATTTTTC